AGGAAGCCGATGGTTTAAGATGTTCATTTTCGTCACAGTTGATAATAAACTCATGTTTCATCTTTCTTAGAATTTTAACTATCATATATTCCGTTTTTTCAGTTGCGTCTTTTTGAACGGTTTTTTGTGCGGAGAATTTGACTAGATGAGATAATATCGAAGGTTGTTTGGTGATTTAATCAAGACGATTCATAAACAAAATTCCTGCACTCTTGTCTAGACGACATAACACTAAGTCCTGATTTCTTCGAAGATCAGATAAATATCAGAAAATGTTCTGAATTAAGATTATCATTTAACATCTGTTGAAAATATCAAATATCAATTCCAGATCGGTTTTCTATATTTATCTCTGCAAACTTGAAAAACCACGCCAACTCTTATAGTGATGACACGAGTCTCACTACTATATTTTACATTCATATGTGAGGGGTGTTATTCCCTCCTAGTTCTATGACCAATATTATTGATAAAATATTAACTTATGTAACCTCCTATATTGTAGACTGCATCACCATTATAGTAAGATCTTGTCTGTAGACTTACCGTATACGGATAGATGATCTTGGTGTTATTATGTCTTATCTTGTCCTTCCTCCTAGAACTGATTGACTGATAATATATTTCAAAAACCGAGATCAAAACCTCACATCTGGAGTTACGTGAGTTTGTCATGGAGTAGTGAGTTCTTTGAATTCTCCACTAGAGCAGTTAATATCTGTCAGTAAATTTAAAAAATGCCTAGATTTTAACGGCACTGAAAATTATAAGGATTAATATAGATTGGCTGACTTATCATCCTTACAACTAGAGGCTGACAACCAAGAAAATAACTTACGCGGACTCTTTTCGAATGGGAAGTTTAGTCCTAACGTGATTTGAATTTTCCAAACTATTGCTGTGTTCTTACGCAGCAAAAGTATGAATTCTGATCTAGAGAATCTATTCTGAGCCATACGTTCGGTAGATTACATTTTTGAGTTTCACCCAACTTAATAGTTCACTGTGGTTTTGCCTCAGCTTGATATTCTTTTTTAGTTTTTCACGCAAAGGCTAGTTTCAGTTCATCGTAATCCGTTTTTATCAACTTTTGTCTGTTTTTAGTTTATTGCTTTTTTAAGGTCTTAGTCTTTTGATAGCATCTATAAGACAGTTTACGTCGTTATAATCGTGAAAAATTCATGCAAACAACATAGACGTCGTTTTGCTGTTACATCTGGCATATAGTGCAAAAACTGCAAAGGCCGGTTCCGTAAAGTGTGCACAGATCACACAGCAACTGCTTACAACCGACCCAGTAAGTCGGATCATAGGTGAGTATGTGTGATGGTCAACACGGATGCTGAAGTTTTGCTGAGTAACATCATTTCACTATTGACAGGCCTGTGGAATAAGTTGTCAGCAGACTTCGAAAAAGATAGTCATTAAACGGGTAGACAAATGAGAGCGCGCAATAAATACAAGAAGAGGGATCTCGACAGCGCTACTATAGATGGGGCATGTAATAACACTAGTGGTGACATGCTGAAACTCAGTACCATCATAACATCGACGGTAATAGACTCCCTCAGCAGACTTGGTTCTCCCAACACAGGGTCTCTGAATGCAAAGGTGGTTCCCAAGAACTCTGTATGTGATTAGATTCCCGCTACCGAAATTAAAAAGAACCAGGCGTCAGCGTCTAAGAAGCTGAACATCCTAGGCACTGTAGGGAAATCAACGAGTGACTTGGTCCACAGTCTGCCCCCAAGAATGTTCGTCCGCTCATCAAAGAGCCTGAGAATAAGAAGCGCGCTTCGACCTCCAAACAGTAAGGTCTCGAACCTGAACGCCCCGGAAAACCTGGGAAAACAATAAAGGTTCGTGGGGATTCTCTCATAATCATGAATCTTAACGACAGCCCTGATTTTCTCTCCAGTTTGAAGGATAAAAATGACGAGATTCTCTGAGGAGAGCTAAACAAGAAGATTCCCAGAACAGAGCCTCTGACGGTTACACGGCTCACTCGGCGAAAGGACTCTAAGCATCAAAATCACCCGAGGCTACTTCGTGTAGCACTTACTAATGCCACCGACTTAGAAGATATCCTACTAGCTAGTCACTTACTGAAATCTTATGGGAACGTAAGAATACTGCATGACATACCGTATTCTGAGCGCAATCTCATCCGGAACATCCCTAAAGAATCTCGCGAGTTTTTCCGTAGAAGAAATATAATTGTGCAAGGTGTACCGGACAACACGAACCCTGGTAACACAAACTCTGAAATTAGGGAATGGAAATTCAACGAACAATCCTTGAATTTTAAAGACATACTGACTCAATAAGTGACGGGATTAGCCACGAAGAACGGAGATTATAGACCCAGGTTAATGAGGACAAATTCCTCATCCTGCAACTCTGAAAACATTCCTTGCCAACAGACGTCGGTTGCCAACTGGAATCCATATGTATCCGGACAGACCACACGACGCCACGATCAAGCATAAAGGCAAGTTGGAGATGACCATTCTTACTTCTGAACTGTATTGATCATAAGAAAACGTGTAAATGATAGGGGCTATCAACTCGGCAAACCTTGTATAGGTAGGCTACCTGCCTATTCAAGTAAGGCTCATACAGACAAACAGGAATGAGAAGCTCACATGTTCCAAAAGGAAAGCATAAATTGCCTGTTCATGAACACCGCGAGTTTATCAAATGAAACGGATGAGTTACGTGATCTTAACAATGCTAATAACCCTCATGTGATAGAACCATCTGGAACTTGGATGCCTTCTCAGTTTGCGGAAGAGGAGCTAGCTAGGATGTATTTGCTTCGCAATGAGGGTAGCTTTATACTTACGATCCTGCCTGGAGGCACATCAAGTGCACAACCAAGAGTTTATTATGCTTGATGAATACATATGGTGCTCAGTAAGACTGTCTACCACCTCGAGTTGTCTATTTGGGGTCATCTACAGGAAGCCAACTGTTGACATCGAGGAGTCTGTTCTTCAAATGGTCCCCAAAATCTGCAAGCAACCTACTTTCCTCAAGGACCGCACTTTTCGTTTGCTAATTCTCAAAAGGCACTATTAGGCAAAATACAAACGATCTGATAACAACGTTGAGTACAGACAATACAGACATATGCACAAAGGCAATAGGAGAAGACAAGCTTCAGTACCCGGTAAAGCTTATCGATAAATTTGTCTCCAATCAGAAAAGCTTATTCCGTTATGCAACCTCTCTTCGACAAGCCAAAACACGAGTTTTCCAACTACTAGGTCCTAATGGCCCAACCAATAACGACGGCAACGCCGCTAACCTTTTGGCTGAACAATAATCTCGGACATTTCAACCGACACACATCAACTATATTGATGAAAGCGCCATCTACAACTGCACAAGACTTTCCGAAGTGAACATGAGCGCTAACTTGTGTACCGGAAACTGCATCACCTAACAAAAGACATTTTTCCCGGTCACTGTATGGTTCCTGCTGCTATACCGAGGGAAGTAGCCCCAATCTTAACAACACAGCTTAGCATGATGTTCTCACACTCGCTAAGCCGAGGAAAACTACCGTAAATTTGGAAGAGGGCTCACATCACACCAATTTTCAAAGGAGGTCGACGTAACGAACCTTCAAGCTACCGACCGGTGACTCTTCTCTCTATACCTCCAAAAATCATGGGGTCACTGATATGCGACGGTAAGCACGACTATTAATTATCCTTAAACTTCCTTTCACCCCAACAGCATGATTTCAGGAAGTCAATCTTGCATAACGAACCTGCTGACTGCAATGGACAGATGTACAACCATCCTTCATCTCAAGACAAAGTTCGACGTCATTTACCTTAACTTCTCAAAAATGTTTGATAGTGTCTACCATATATGTCTTCTCAATAAGCCCAAACGATTGAGTATCAAATCACCTCTTATTGACTGGATCACTTCATATCTAAAAATCGACATTTTAGGGTCAGGGTTAACTCCACTTTCTCTCAGGCTATGCAATGTCCTAGTGGGGTCCCCACAGGGTTCACTACTAGGACTCCTTCTCTTCTTGATGTATATAAACGATCTTTCACAACAGGTATTGTCTGACTTATTACTTTTTAGTGATGATGTGAAACTTTGGAGTGATACGCAAACGAGTGGACACACTGGAACTTCAAGATGATCTGAGTCGAACGGGCTTGCCTTTAACATTTCAAAGTGTAAGGTAGTCCATTTGAGACATGTTTCAGACTACATTGACAACTTAGGAAACTCCTCTCTAGAAGTATTCCAAATCGAAAAAGATTTAGGAGTGCTGGTACTCTACGATTTGAAGTCTTACACTAAATGTGACAAAGATATCTTTAGAGCCAACCTTGCACTGATAACACTGAAGTGGATTTTCGGCCAGTTTGATGTCAGAATTTTCCATATAATCTTTAACTGTTTCATTCTTCATCATTTAGAGTACATAGTATTTCCTACCTCATTCCAAAAGGATAAGAACACTCTGGAGCGTATCCAAAGGTGAGCCACGAAATCAGTTCGGGGACTCAAATTCAAACCTTATGAAGAGCGCCTCTAATCAATAAACCTTTACTCATTAAGCTACAGGCGTCTCAGAGGTAACCTTTTAATCACTTACAATATCCTTAACACTTCTTGACATCCCCTTAAACAACTACTCAAGTTTAGCTCAAACACAAACTTAAGGGGTAACATCCAGAAAGTGGAAACACAACATATCTGAACGGACTGTAGACACAACTTCTATTCTGCCGGCTGGTCTAGTTCAAGCGACTTCGCAGGAGTCCTTTAGGATGAAACTTGATATATTCCTAAGGACTAAGGATAATATCTCACCATTATTTGATAATTTCTTTTTCCTCTGTTATCTTTAATATACCTAAGTTTCTTTTGGAAGTATTATTGATCTACTGCTGCTAGACACGGAAGCCCGTTAAGTGTAAGCTTCTTCTATTCCGTCCACAACCATTTGAACCACTTGAATATTTCATTTGGAGTGTTGCGGTTCATACGTATTTTGCGCTACAAGTGTGTTTTTCATGGCTTTTGTTGTTTTTTATAGTAGCATTTACCTCTGGGCACACCATGAAGTAAATTTCCAAAACTGGATGACGTTTTGCTACTTGGACCGATGCATATATATGCCTGGTCCAACGTTGTAGCTGACTGACTGATAGACTATCAAAATTAGAGTAGGCGGAGCGGTATCGGTATATGCGAGAACGTTGGATATGAATGACAAAATTTCTAGCTTCAACTTATCAGCATTCTTCAGTTCAATTTTAAAGTTACCTACAATCACGAACTAGTTTCAGTCGGTCAGTTATAAAACCCTACGTAAATATCTGCCAGACCTTCAAGTCTAGGTCTCTGGGGTGGCCCCCTAAGGAGACCACCTGTTTCGTCCTGGGAACCCAGGCAGTATCACAGCTCACACACGTATCAAGTGACCCATGTGGCGAATATGTATTCTGTGCCCCTTCGTACCAATGTTTATGTGTTCGGATAAATAAATATCCGTCAAGCTGAGTTCCTATACCACATTAACATTATCGAGAATCCTAAGAGAGCAAGAATAATAGTAGCAATAATAGAGTAAAAGAATAAACATTAGTTGGTGCAGTTCTTAAGGGGTGAGTCTGAGGAATAAAATGTAAGAAGTAGCTTTAAAGCTAAATACTCGCGAAAAAATAAAGAGTGAATATAACTCTTTCACTATGACTGATTCTGGGCCACATCTCGTGGTTGAATTCACCGAATAAAATGCTACATGTATAAGGAGGTAAGTGATGCATCGAGTTGTTTGATCCTGGACTCCAATAACTTGTAGTTACCTTTCGTCATAGGTAATATAACTCCCATTTGACACACTGGATCAGTGCATTAAACTGCATAGACATCTGCCGTTCCAAACAGTAACGAGTTTTCAGCTATACTTTTGACATTTGGTTAAGTCACTTATTATGAATTATAATATACTCATGTCTTACCTAATAATTCCTCAGCTTAAAGATCATGTTTCGGATTTTGACAGATTATACAATTTTCCTTAAGCTTTGGTAAGTTGCTTCTAGTTATTGTTCATGAAATTGAAAATCTTTAAATGAGTATCCAGGATATACCATTAGCTTTATATATCTCGACTGTTTTTTTATGAAGAGCATCCAAAATACATCACTTTCCAAGATTTCCAGTTTAAAAAGTGTTCGTTGTAATTTAGAATGAAGTTACGCATTAGTCTGTTTCAGGTTCTGCGTAATAATTTATTGTCGGAAAATTCTCTATTCCGATATTCCAAAAACAATAGCCAGAAGACGCTGAATTTTCCACAATTTAGTTTACCACATCGACTTTGAAAAATAGCGTAATGAATCAATTTGGCCACTATAATGCCGCTTATATTCTATTTCTACCCCAAAGGTCATTCCGGTGCATAATCTCATTAGTACCTGTTATTCTCACACACACTGATCATACTTCGATGGCTGATTATGCAGTACTGATAGTATTTTTGCTTTTTCTATTCCCAACAGTCCTAGTACCATGAGAAGGACAGCTGTAATAAATGCCATACTTTAAATGAGCATTTAGATAACCACTTGAGTCTAAATTCATTCAAGTTTGGAAAAGACAAGTAACTTTTCTGTGTCGAGATCAGGATTCCTTTTATCATCAATCCATTCGAACTGAGTCAACACATTAGGTAAGTAGATTTGTTAGATCATTTACTTATTTATAAACCACAGATATATATTTAGCGAATTCATAGCACATCCCTTAAATTCTCAAGTAAGCTTAATTCTCCCATCACATCACCATAGATGATCTGTTACCCAGTAAGGTCAAAGATGACGTTATTAGAGAAGGGATTAAAAAAGATATTCGAGCAATAAAAAAGTCAGTCAAATTCCATCTCGGAACGAGTTGTTCACTTGTAGAGGAGTCCCAATATCTCACTTATTAAAGTATGTGCTAATGATGTTGCCTGGAGAGACAGTAAAATATTCACTATTAAACCATCGAGGTCAAACAACACACCATCTCTTGACCTTTTTCCTGAGAAACAAGCCTTCACCATCATCTCGTCGGTAATTAAAATCTTGTATATCAATACTTGATTCTTTTCTCAACTATGTTTAATACCAGTGTGATACAAGCTAATTAACTTATGAGAGATCTCAACACTAAATATCTTGACGTTTACAAGTTAAATAAGTGTTCACTATACTTAGACACAAATCTTTGAAGTTTGCATCATTTTTGGAACAATTTTTGGCGGGACTATAATTTATGGACGAACCAGTCAGATTTACGATAAGATTTTGAATTTTGGCGCAAAATTCACTCATCCATTTGGTTAAATAGAGTTTTGGCATTATAGCTGATGTCAGTTTGTGATGAAAACCCAATATCTGACTCCTAACCCTAACCACGAACTGTAAATATTACTTAGTACCCGTTTCCTAACAACTGCGTTACTTACTCGATGGTCCCAGGATATACGAGCAGTGTTTCGAAGACACCTATGATCAAATACTAGTAACCTACGGATTTCCTCTACCCTTACCGGCCACGTTACACTGCCATAAAGTAGGACGGAACGAATTGCTGCGCAGTAAACCCATCTGTTGGTTGGTAGACGAGAATATCTCGCCTACGCCATAAATGACGCCAGTTGGCAAAAGCTAGTCGAGCTTTCTGTATCCGTGCTGAGATTTTGTCACACACCAAACCAAAAGGGCTGATGAGACTCCAAAGATAAGGGAAGCGGTTGACACGCTCATTTACTTCACTTCCTATCATTAGTTGGGGTGTCGATGTCACCCAATCTTGAAGCGACATTCTACATTTCGAGGGGGGAGAATCGAATTCCGAACATGCTTGCATTGTTGCTTATAGTGGTCAGAAGACTGCATTTTGTCAGCGTCTTCACCAAATAGAACTATGTCATCGGCAGCTCATTAGTTAAAGCGTCCGACCTTCAAGCACCAGGTCATAGGTTTGAGCTCCATTCTACTTATTTCGAATTGCGCAACTGAACAGTATCAACAGTTCTGATACTTCTAGTGTTGCTTAAACCCAAGTACGCTAATGTGTCTGTAAGTGACGAATAATTCGAATAAAACATATTTTGACCATTGTAATACAGTAATTATGGGTTTGTAAATGTAGAGCTTGCTGATGAAGTTATACAAAAACAATTCTTCGTTCAAATATCTCTTGAGTTCGAAATCCCATACCTTCTTATTTATTACAAACTGTATGCATTCATATTACTCTTAGTTGTCACCATTATTATTATTATTATTGTTATTATTATTATTATTTTAGAAATGAGTACTGAGAATGCTTCAAAAAATTGGGAGCTTACTTTGTATGAATTACATCGTAAACCACAAGAGCCTATTACCGATGGAACAGTTATTGCTGTTAGTCCAAGAAGCTTAAAGAGTGAACTAATGTGTCCAATATGTTTGGATATATTAAAAGTGACTATGACAACGAAAGAATGCTTACATCGTTTTTGTTCTGAATGTATTATCACCGCTCTTCGTAATGGTAACAAAGAATGTCCAACATGTCGTAAAAAGTTGGTGTCCAAAAGATCGTTAAGAAGAGATCCAAATTTCGATGCGTTAATTTCAAAAATTTATCCAAGTCGTCAAGTAATGCTCATTTCCAATTCCTTTCATAAATTATTTACTGTATGTATATTGTAGGTTATATCAGTGTGGAAAGCTAGAGCTTAAAGCACCTAACTCGTAAAGTTGTTTTTCTTAACAATATTCCATGTATATCGGTTTACGCGACCATCTGGTATCACTAGCACTTAAAAAATGTGACTCGTAGTCGACTTCAGAATTGTGTAGTTTGTCCCTAAATAATACTGGAAATAGGAATTAATTGTATGTTCTCTTTAAATATCAGAGTGAACTAAACATTTGACGATTGTTTCACGATTTTTATACAAATCTAAACAATAATACATGTGGTAATGTTCAGCCTAAATATTGTCTATTTATTAAATTTTAACCAGTTATTTGTGATTATCGTCGGTGAAAATCTTTAATATTTTTGGTTTGAATGGCTACGCTTTAATTTTTAAAGATTTTAAGGCCTGATTAATTTTTCGGGTTTACTTTCAACATGATATTTTATTGAATATGGGTGAATAGTGTTGTGTAGTCCATGTTAACTGGATTGCCTTAACTAACCCTCTGCCAAATTATGCTGCAAGGTTTTCACGATCTTTCATGCTCTTGTACGGCCAAATGTAGAGAAAGTCTGCTCTCTAGAAATGCTTCCACCGCCATGCGTTTATGGCACCTGTCAGGGAAATCCTCTGTTTTAAGCTGAAGGCCCCCAAATGCCCTGGTACGGCTGAAAGTGGGAAGAGTCCGCTCTCCCTCTCGAAATGCTCTCACATGGCTACTCGTATATAGACTCTTTCAGGGAAGCCCTACTCACTGCCTTCTCGTGGCGCGAGTGTTGTTCACGAACTCGAGAGGACAAAAAGCGATTGTCCGGCGTTTTAACCGGTTTGGTGTACGCGGAAAGTTCACCTAGGGGAGTGGGGAAACCCTGATTCCAAACCATTGGTGCACATGGGCTCCAGTATCTTGAAGGAACAAATGGATGGATATTCTTTCTGATAGGTCCATCTACTCTCTTTGTAAGTAAAACAGCTAAAAAGTCATTCCATATTCACATATACTCTTTTTTTCATATAATTGACTAAGTGTGTTTCATCAAATTGTTTGTAAACAAATCTCTAGTTAGCCTGTGTCATTTCATGTAATTTTTTTAAAAACGAAAAGATTAACATAAACTTGTGACCAAATACCAATATCGAGGTAATCCACTAACGATGCATGTATACCAATAGAGACTGATCAATTATAGTCTCTAACATATCAACAGCCTGAAAATGTAAACCTATGCAAATAAAATACATTTTCTTCCGAAAAATGGACGAAAAATTCAGAATTGTAATTAAGCTGTTTTAACGATATATTTGAAATGTTAAAGTTTAATGGTGGCTTTCAGTGAAAATTTGAAGCAAAAGGCATTGGGCTTGAGTTTTTGTGAGAACGTCAACACTGAGACGTAGTTACATTCAACCAATAAGTCCTAAATCGAGTCAGTCAGTAACAACGTAGAACTTCGTACGTACGTACATCAGTTCGAGTTGCCACACCACATTAGCACAGAGATGCAGTTGTCCATTCAAATCCCGTAGTGGTAGAGGTAATAAGAGTATAAGCAGTAATCGGAAAGATTAGTGTTTGGAGATGTTACTTAAAGAGTATAATACAGTGAAATAAACTTGGGAAGAGAAAAAAAGAGACAAGGGGGAATCAGGAGATCAAAATTTGGGAGAACACAAAGAGTGGATGCACCTGCGCCATCGCAAACGATTTTGAGCCATGTCATTCAAGGTCTCTAACCATCGGTTGCTATCATCTCGCGGTCCCCAACCAGGTAGTCTACACCTACCGACATGACTCAGACCACTTGTCAGTGACTTCATGGACTTGTGTCATGTTTTGGTCTGGCCGCCTCTAGCTTTCTTCCAACCTACTCCTATACCACTGAACATCGCACGTCGAGGCAGTCGGTCGTTGGGCATACGTAACACGTGTCCCAGCCATCTCAACTGATGAAGTTTCACCACTTCATCAATTGATTTGCCATCCTTACCTAGTACCCGTTTCCGAACAATTATGTTACTTACTCGATGGTCCCATGATATATGAGCAATGTTTCGAAGACACCTATGATCGAATACTAGTAACCTACGAATATCCTCTACTCTTACCGGCCATGTTTCACTGCCATAAAGTAGGACGGAACGAATTGCTGCGCAGTAAACACGTCCTTTGGTTGATAGACGAATATCTCGCCTACGCCATAAATGACGCAAGTTGGCAAAAGCTAGTCGAGCCTTCTGTATCCGTGCTGAGATTTCGTCACACACCAGACCACAAGGGCTGATGAGACTTCCAAGATAAGTGAAGCGGTCGACACACTCAACTACTTCACTCCCTATCACTAGTTCGGGTGTCGATGTAACCCAATCCTGAAGCAACATTTTGCATTTCGAGGGAGAGAATCGCATTCCGAACATGCTTGCATTGTTGCTTATTGTGGTCAGAAGACTCTGCATTTTGTCAGCGTCTTCACCAAATAAAACTATGTCATCAGCATATTCTAAGTCAACAAGTGAACCCCCGGTAGAAGTTCAACCCCTGGAAATTTAGATGAGGAGAGTGTTGTCTCTAAAAGTACGTCGACCACAAAGTTGAACAAGAATGGGGATAGTGTACAGCCCTGACGAACACCACTTGATGTAATCAATTCTGATGACAGTTCGCCATAAGCTCTCACTCTACCAGTTGTGTTCGAGTAGAGAGCCTGAATAAGGTTAATGTACTTCTTTGGCACTCCTTTCAGTGACAAACACTGCCATAGAACCTCACGATCAACAGAGTCGAATGCCGCCTTAAGGTCGAGAAATACTACCATTGTGGGACGTCTGAATGTGTGTCTGTGTTCTAGAACCTGACGTAGTGTGAATATTTGGTCTATATAACCACGTCCAGGTCGAAAACCGGCCTGATTTTCTCTAGCCTGCTCTTCACGAGCTTTGATTAGGCGTCGAAGTATTATTGAGGCTAATATTTTAGATACTATATTAGTCAAACTGATTCCTCTGTGATTGTCACAAGAGCACTTTTGTCCTTTCTTATAGACTGGCACAATCAGTGATTGAGACCAGTCAGATGGGATTACGTCCAGTTCCCAAATTCTACCTAAGACCTCGGTTAATCTCATTGCTAATACTGGACCACCATCCTTAAAAATCTCAGGAGTAAACCTGTCAGGGCCTGCTGCTCTCCCTCGCTTCAGATTTCCTATGGCTTTTTCAACTTCTTAAAGGGACGGAGGACTTACATTAACTTGCCATTCAGGTTGACTAGAGATCGTGGGAAACCGAAGTGTGGCTGAAGGCCAGTTGAACTGATCCCTGAAGTGTTCTGCCCATCGATCCAATCTCCTGGATTGAGAATGAATAATATGTCCATCTTTCTCTGAGATTGTTTCACAAACGGTCGGGTTCCTAATTCCGCTTTCCTTAACGAGTCTGAACAATTGTCTGCTAATACCTATTGCCGCTGCCTTTTCTATCTCTCTTGCTTTCGCTACCCACCACTGTTCGCGATCATTGCGTAGACTTCTTGTCAGCTTGCTCTTATGCTGACTCCGCTCTTCACTATGTACAGAGCCAGGTGGAATGAGTTTCCGAGCATCTATCAGTGCGATGGATGCTGCTGAGATCCAGTGTTGCTCCCTAACCTTCTGATTTATCTTACTAGCAGATATCACTGCTGTTTCCACAGCTTTTCGGATATCATTCCATGCTGCATCGGGGTGGGCATCACATACATGGCTAACTGTTTTCCTAGTTGTTCCTGAAATATACTCTTAGCTTGACTATCATTAAGTAGGCCCCTAAGAGGTTTACTTGCAGCGTCTTTCCTACGCCCAGTAAGACGCAGACAGATACGCGCTCGTACTATAGCATGATCTGAATCTAAGCATGTGCTCCAGAATGAGCAACAGTCTTCTATCGAGCCCCTCCATCGGTGGCTGATAGCGACGTGATCTATTTGGGTCCAACATTGGGACGAATTAGGGGGTCTCCACGTTAAAAGATGTTTTTCCTTATGCTTAAAGTTAGTATTTGCAAGAAAGAGGCGGTTATCCGAGGATAGCTGCAACAGACGGTCGCCATTATCTGTTCTTTGAGCCAAGACACCATAAGATCCACCTAGGTGTCTTTCCCTATCGCTTAGTTTACCTACTTGAGCATTAAAGTCACCGGCCACTATTACTACATCCGAGCGCCTAGCTTTTCGGAGAAGGTCGGAAAGCTTTCTGTAAAACTCATCTTTTACATCATCTGGGCTGCAGTCAGTGGGAGAATAGGCAGAAACGACGAAGAGGCAACGACGAGTGTCCCTATCTTTCCGGATCCTAACTGTTCCGTTCAGTCGGACAGCGCACAAACAGCTGTCTACTGGGATCCACTCTAAGAGAGCTAGTTCTGCTCTGGGACTCAATGCTATACCTACGCCGGCGAGGCCACGGGAAGCAGAATCAGTGCTTCCAGATACACGAAGTGTAAATCGAGTCTGTTCTTTATTTTGAAATGGTGAGGTCAGATGAATGACGCTACTCGGATCCTGTATGCGCGTTTCGGAGACACAGCACACATCGATGGCGCGGGATTCTAAAGTTCTAGCTAAGGAAGCCTGCTGTCCTATTTGGCACAGTGTTCGGACGTTGAAAGCTCTAACGTGTAGTTTAGAGCGTGGTTTGAGGAGACCAGGAATAGCGTTCCACGTACTCGAGTCGTTTGCCCTACCGGTGCGAGGTGATAAAGAGACGTGAGGAGGGTTAGTCATGGAGATAAGAGAGGTATTAGGTGGTGTAGGAAGGATTTGAATGTGACCAACTTGGTCTCGTGTGCTGTTACGGGTATGAGGGCTGATGTCACTTCCCGGCTGCCCACACCGTGGAAGGGTATTTCCTGAGGAACCTGTAAAAGAAGTCGGGTTAGTATTGGTCTTAACGACCTGGGAGCGTGACCGCAGAGCCCAAGGGACAACTGGTTGAGGCCTGTCGCGCACAGGCTTTTTGTGGGAGGTTTTCAACGGGTTAGCTCCGTTCTTCAAAGGGCCTTACCTTTGGAGACGGAAATCCGTGAGGTAAGGTAAGGTGTGACATTTTTAGGGTCGATCTTTTCTAACCCCACCCCTCCTTGTGGGAAGGCAGCATCGCTGTCATGCTGGTTGTCTGAGGGAAACACCTTACTGCTGTCACACATCTCTACAGTCAGCAGTACGACTTCGCCCTCAGACCTTGAGTTGCTGCTTTTAGTCTTACTGTTCACCAATCGACCTTTCTGGCATGGTAGAACCTACAGGAACATATGTTCCAGCCAATATAGCTCGGTTGGGTCATCACGATAGGCAAGCCCGACCACAGCGTCAAGGTAGCAGCTTCGGTTGGGGTCCTAAATCGAAGGAAACACACATTATGCATTTCACTATTATCCACTATACAACTTTAATAAAACTGTACTTGGCTCAAATCGGCTATCCATCTTCAATCATTAATTTGAATGTATTAATATCTGTCGTAAAACCTGTTAAGAATTTATCAGAACTTGCAATTTTATTTAATTATTTGTGTGTGTTTTTATATACTGTAAGAGTTTTTCTTTACTCTTCATTGGTTTAATCAATATATAAACTGTCTTTTTAGTTTCATTCCATTAGTAATTATTTCATTTTTTGGTTTTTATCATCAATCAAAAAAGGAGTATGAAGCACATCAAGATAAAATTTTAGCACGTTTAAATCGTCAACATTTAAGTGCAGCATTGACAAGATCATTGGAACAACAATTAGGCTTAAATGGCAACAACAATACTACTGCCAATAATAGTAATGGCAGTAGATCACGAAATTCAACCAACACTGGACGTAATCAAACACTAGTCAATAGTAATGCTGGTAACGGCGGAACAAGTGAAGTACATACAGATGCTGGAATAAGTGAAGAAGAAACACCGTCAAATGTAAGTTTTATTTTTTGAAGGGGCTTTATAGAGATTGGTTTAATTTGTAGATATTAGTTATCACAGATTTATGTCACTTGGAGTACTATTCAAAACAATTGAGGACTGGACAAATATTTCCTTTCAGTATGAAGTTCCTTAGTAGTGTGTACCCATGACCCTATGGCTTTCAGGTTTAAACTATTAGGACCACTATGTCTGTGCTCAGTGGTAAAATTCCTATTTTTTTATTAACTTACAACATGATGCGATGGCAATCCAATGCTATCGGTACCAACTGTTTCGTCTTCAAAATAACGACTCTACAAGTTATAACTTTTTGCTAGAACTTCAAGAAGATCTTGAAGTAAGTCACTACTGAGCTACTTTTAATTATCATATGCCTATTCAGATTGAATTACGTTAATTCTGTAAAAGTGTTTGATGACAATTGTTAGTAGGCTAATACGGATTTAACGTTTCTTCGCATTCTTTTGACAATTTGGGGAAATGGGTCATTTACTGGAGACGGAATAAATAAATAAAATTCCGAAAATGATTGTAGTACAGTGAATAATGTGGCATGTAAAGTAGGTATAAAGTTAGAATGTTTGAAAGGAGGACAAAATAAAGTATTCTGGAAAATATGAGCATGGTTTTAAAAAAAAGTAATAACATTTTCTAGAAAGGGATTCATTCGGTTTTGATCAGATTAGACCATCATTCAGACTTGGATCGGTTAAAGTTCCCAAACCACTGGTGATACTGAGACCGATTTTAAATCAAGTTCCCTACGGACCCTAATCATTGATCACGATTATCATGTGGATCTATACTGTATAGTTTGCACTTACCATCATAGCTCAGGCCAACATCCATTGACCTCATGGATTGATAGTATATCGTAGTTTGACCATCTTACAATGTCATTAGTAATTGTCCTAAACACAACATGACTGGTATCTCCTCTGGTTCAGCTTCGTCTTATGTCTAAAACTCACTTAGTTGCTTAAGTATTATCCTCTATGCGAACTAATAACCGAAACCAGTTATTAGGTGGTGAAATTTCCTTGTTATCAGTTAACTAGACGGAAATTGATTGGCTTTTAGTACATCTTAGGCTTTTTGCGCATGTGTTTCGATATTACCACTGTGAGTTTCATTCTTCTAATGCTTGTTAGCAATATACTACGGGATACACCTTTCTTTGTAGAAAATCTTATCAGAATTGTCAGCTGGATTTACTTGGATTCTAATAGACAACTGAAAATCAAAAATATTTTTTGTGGTTTTTCATTTTCTATGCTGGATAGTATATTTGCGACTTTTCATTACTATTCTAAACAATATCATCAGAGCCCTACTTCACTTCTACTTGAATTAGGCGCTGTTAATGTTGCTCAGATCGATACTGAAAACTTTGAGATTAAACCATCCAACTTAGACAATGTGAATATCACCAAAAGTATCCCCTTGAACTGCAAATCTTCATCATTTCGTATCAATAATTATTTTACAATAATAATAATGAAAATAATTTAACTTTTTTTAATCCTAACATTACTGTCTATTTAATATCTGTGTTTTATTTCTGATTCTCTATCATGTTGGCAATTCCGTTTTTCTTCAGTTTATGAGTAATGGTGCTTGTTCAACAAGACGTGTCTCATCTACATCACATCAATTAACTAATAATTCGGATACGGAAAGTGGAATGGATACAAATTCAATTGGCGAAAATAGTTCTGTATCCGATTTACCAGTTTTGCATTATCGTAATAATACATCAACTGCTTCTTCTATGTTTACTACAACTGCTGGCGGTGCTGGTGATTCAAATCATCCTCATACTCAATACAATTGTTCCATGGATCGTAATATTATTAATAACAATGATAATAGTAGTAGTATTCTGCATAATAATAATAATAATTCAACTTCATCTATGTTATCACCATCTGTATTTCCTGAAATTGAAGTTTTATTGAAACCACATCCACGTTATTCTTCGCAGTATACCGCTTCTACTGCTATGGTGTCATCTACTTCATGTAGTCCATCTACATCAACAGGACATCGTAATAACAATAATGCTAACAGTAGTAATGGTAATAGTAACCCTAATAGTAATTACAATGACCAAGGAAATGGCTTAATCAAATATCTTAAAGCTCCGACAATAACTACAGGTTAGCCGTACCTTACAGTTTCTACATTTAATAACTTTTATTCATCAATTTACTATTTCTGTCTTATTTGTAACTTGTCGATCAAGTACAGGTTTATGTACACAGATACTGAGTAATACTCTTGATTGAGAGATACTAATAGTAACCGTAATAATACCTGCTCACCCAAACCTAAGTAATCGGTAGCTCAGTTGTTAGAGTCTTTGATTTTTGACCCTACATCATAGATTTGTACACCGCTCCACCAAATTCGACTTGGTTAACCGGATCGCATCACTAGCCTTCACATTTATAGTGTGGATTCAAGCCATGTAAACGAATTTGTATATCTTATATTGCAAACAGGCATCAATAATTTACATTTAGTTACGTTTTGCTCTGATAAAAATATGTGTAAATAACTTATAACGCGAATGATTACATTCTTTTTGTTGTTAATCTACAACTCATGGACTATCCATCTGAAAGTTATTAATTGAGATAAATGAGAAAGAGTGTTACACTTTTTTCCAGCCAGTTAGTTCCAATTTAATGATCTTTTTTGTGGGGTTCTGTTTATGTGTACTGCAATACAAAAAAGGTTTACATCTACCCTACTGCTATCGATTTTAGACTATGTCACTTAAGGTTTTACCTCATAGACCTCAATCAAAATTTTAGCACTTCCCAACATTATTCACATATACAGATGTCATAGAATTATACCTTGTTATGAACTGGCCTTACGTAATCTTTACCCAGTCTGCTTCTACGCTGGTTAGTATAGCGCGTTAGCTTTGGCATTGGTTGGAGATGTGTCACGTACCTCTTCAACCAAACCTTCTCAATGGTTTTATCAGATGTAAGTATTATCTCGAAACGATGTCGATCAGACACGGATTAATCATCCATGTCTTCTTCAAATGATGATTTTTACAGCCACATATTTATTAAGAGCAAATTACTGTTTGATATACCAATCCTGTATTAGACACAGTCTCTAAAGTAAACTGTTAAGCCGTTTCATTGAAATAAAACTGAAATTTATAAGCTAATTTTGACATTTTTCAACATAATCCTTTCCTAGCTACAGAGTATTTCTTTATTGTTATTTTTATTCACCTCCAATTTAGTTGATCATTTATGTAGATATTTAACTGTACGTATTAATCTTCAAAGAATAAACAGAGAAGTATCTGGTAAGTGTAATCATAGTTGTATAATCTTTACTATTGTATGAATAAATTGACTTATTATCTTAGTTAATTTCAAAATATAGTTCAACTATTCTATTCTTTTAAATATTTATTTGCTTTTGTCTTGATTTAGAATATTATATATGGTCATATTGACTTTACTTCATTTTATGTCATACATTCTGCTGAAGATAAGTAATTATTTATATGATTTTTTATTTTATGTTTTCTAACTACATAATGGTCAATATTATGTGGTTGGAGCTAGTCACTAAGATACCTCAAACCTTGCTTTCGTGCTTACTGGTACTATTCAGCTACACTTACATGCACTCTTGAGGAGACTGATGCTTTTTGATAGATTCTGGTCTATGCCAGTCAGTTTCACTTTCTGAGGTGTTACCACTAATTTATTTGATCTGAAAATGATCTCACGTAAAGTTCGATTTCACCAAGAATCATAATCTCCTTCCTAATTGCAAGTACACCTCGTTGTGACGAGTACCGACATGCATTAAACCTAGGTTCAAGGTGTCCTATTTATTATCTCTAACCACTTAAAATCAAAACATAGTGTACTCGATATTAAGCCTATTAGACTAGCGATCAAATTCAAATTTAGTCTGTCGAATTTGATTTGTACCAAAGGAGACCAATCAAAAATGAAACTGGCTACTACTTAGTTGTTGTTCAGTAAAAATAATGACCGTTTTTTTGAAAATGAAACTACTTGTTAGGTGATCATATAAAACGATATATATCTATACATATTATATTAAGTCCATTTCTCGCTTAATAATAATTATAAAAGGAATATTTAGTAGAAAAACTATAGTTTCCTACTTAAAAACCATTTTCTCATCTTATTATCTTTAAGTTTTCACTTTATACACACTAATATTTTTCTTAAAAATTAAGTTTTGGTCACTTCGTTTAACATAACGAAACCAAGACGAAATTGGTGATCTCTGAAAAATCAAATTGATGTTATATTCAAACTAATTCACCCCATTGCACAAGCAGGGGCTAAGTGGATAACGCGATAGGATTTGAAGCGAACGGTACTGAGTTCGAGTCTCAGAGTGATCATAAACTTTGAGATGCAGGCACATCCGGTTGACGAGTCCCAAATAGGACGAAACGTGTGTCCTGGATTCTACTGTTAGCCACTATCCATCTTTGTTTATAAAGCTTGTGACCCAAGGCAATATTGTGAGGCAGTCCGCACAGGATGCACATATACCATCAAGAGACTGATCAATTGTGCAGTCCTAAATAACAATGGGAAGATACAAGTAGAACAACACCAATTGAATTTAATTCATAATTTATTTTATATTCAGTGACGCAAACTGTTAATGATAAAAGGGAATTGGGAAAGAAAGCAAATTTGCATTCTTTTACTTATTGTGATTTTTGTGCAACATTGCTGGCGTTTTTTGAAAAAAAATTCAATTCGATGATTATTCAGTATAATATTTATTTTGTTTATCAAGTATGATAATTTATTCGGTATAATATTAATTTGATTGAGTGTAATGTTTGTTTAAGATACAATATTCTTGTATTCAATTAACATGGACTGTACTCAGCATGACATGTAGCATGTGGTTTGTTGTAGCTCTGGATATTTGTTTTTCATATATGCGATTTTATTCTAATTAATAATCAAAGTAGGTGTACAAACTAATATATAATAATGAGTGTATTTTCGACTAGAGTTGTCGTCGTGTTTTGTAGTGAATAAGTTTTCATTTGTATCAGTCTTGTTGTTCTTAATTCGTGTTATGAGAATTGCAGTGGTTTCTCGATTTTTTTCAAGTATAAGGAATAAACGATTCCGATATAACATTTAGCGAAGACAACCAGTTATAACAAATTGACAACGAGACATATTAGTTAAGTATGAAGGAATAAATAGTTCAATGGTTAAGATCATGAGTGCATTGAAGCCAGACCACCATGGGAAACCCGGAAGCACTGGATGGCCGTCTCGTCTTGTTGCGAGACTCCTCAGCAGTGCGCATCCACGATCCCACCTCGCGAGATTCGAACCCAGGACCTATTGGTCTCGCGCGTGAGCGCTTAACCACTAGACTACTGAGCCGACCGTCATCTAACGCTGTTAATGTCCAACTTCATCCAATCCACGAAATTGAGCGACCCATTCACCAATGTCATCAGTGAGTTACTATCTCACAACCGACCTGGTTAGACTGCATTAGTCACTGCTTCTCACTGAAACTCTAGGAAATACCTCTTGAAGCCAGTCACTAGTGAGCATATGTTAATAAATATTTCTTTTTATATATTTATTCATCAAAATACTTATTCCATAATCCTATTGAGTTTTAATTTCATATGATCATATTGCATTGAATTATCTATAATCTCAATGAATATTTATCGTTTCTGTTTTGTTAATTTGTTTTATTTCTATTCATTATTTTTTTCGTTGTTGATTAAGATGAAAGTGTTCGATTCATCTTATACAGTTATCATGAAAGTACAAATACTTATCAATTATTAGATTCCCATATGTCCATTGAAGAAATTAGTCGTGATCAATTTCATGGAGTGAATTGTCTTGATTTATATTATGCACGAGATGATATCTTAGATGATAATAATAATAATAGTAATAGTAATAATAATAATCGATGAAGAAGTACAAAGAAATACAAAATTGAATCATAATTTACAGTGAATATTGAGCTTCAGAATTCATTTAAATAATTGTCTATATATGTCATTCATCAATCGCTTATTAATATTGACATTATAAACATTAATAGTTATGACAACAACAACACTAACAACAACGCTGTCTCCCATCAATACAGTTATAAATTATTTTTAATGATATATTTCTCTCTCATTATTACTCTTTATATATATTTGTTTGTAGTATTTGACCGTTTTGTTGTGTTGTCTCCTTTGATTTGATTTCTTGGCTTTAGTTTTGTTAATTTTCATTTTGTTTGTTTTACTATTGTGTTATATGTGTTTTGTGTAGTACCAATCATTAGTAGATGACTGCCTACTATTAAAAGCGACGTGTTGCATCTAATTATTTTTAAAAAAATGTAATTATGTTTCTTATCTAAAAAGTTGTAAATATATTTACTTTTGCACGGATCATCTTGGGTACTACTGATAAACTAAGTTTTAGTAATCTACAACTGATACTGAAAAAAATGTTAACAAAATATTTATGTATTATTTATAATGATGACTAATTTCTGGAATATATTTGTTGTTTTAATTTATGAGATATATTCATTAGTCTTTGACCCATTGATCGTTCACTCATAATCTTACCTCCTTTTTTGTATACTTCTTTTCTGCATACACATATAGCTACTTTGTACAGAATTATTTCATTTTAAAATCGAAAATGTATAAATTTATTGTTATTATTAATATACAAAAATGATTGTTTATTAAGCGTATCTTTCTTGTTTTTAAATGATTGTGTGACTTGGGGTAAGATGTTTGTGAACAGCTTAGTAGACTATCTACCAACGATTGAAGAATAGCAACATAATTAGGGATGGATCAAGGACAAAATTTAACGGGTCCTGAAAATAGATGTGATTTTTAAAATTAATCTACTGAAGGGTAAGTTTTTATGATACCTTGATTCTTAAGTATATGAACCGAGAAAATAAGAAACCGCTTTCCGAGTTCACATTTTGCCGAACTAGTTGCTTAGCCGTATTCATTCAGCCTTTCAAATAGTCTTTTAAAATGAGTTAGACTCTGTCTCGTCTTTACTAGCCATTAGCAGCGATTCTTTATATGTGTATACAAATGATGAACCCAGCAGAACCTGATCGACAAACTGCTGGAATGTTTTCTCTGCGTTTTTAACGCTGAAATAGGAGCTGATAGCTGTCTTAGGAATATAGTCAGGGTGAATTTGCGTATGATGATACTCTCTTACAAGGTCAGTTTTCGACAAAATGTTTGAATCGGGTAAATTGTTCATAAGGTATATATATAGTCTGCTCTCTATGATTACTCGAGAATACGTTTTTTAGGGATGTTTTAAGCTACTTGATAGTAGTATAACTTTTAACTAAGAAAATATTGATCTTATTTTTTGTGTAAATAAGCTTAGTTTGAAAGATAAATTTATATGTTCTAAGTTTTGTTTAGAACTATATCTTAAAAAAGATAATCAAACATATCTGAGTGACAAGTTTCATCAGACAAAGAACACAATAGGATAAGATAGGTGTTTAGATTTGATTTGACACCCACCATAGAATTAACAAATGCTATTCCATTCAAGGTTGCACCCGGAACCTCCAGTTCTTATAGCAGGCATGCCAATGGTAAGGTGCCAAGTAGAGATTCAATGAATAAAATTCCAAGCTTCGGTTTCTTTGTTACATAGCGTGGTTCTCATCTCAAGTCATCGACATTTATTATGTTGGGTGTTTGAAGGAAGTGAGCAGGAATCTTTGGATTTAGGTACCTTACTTGTTCGCACCGGTCAGCAAGGCTCACCTGTAATCTTCAGGGATCAAATGTTCCATAACAGGTTCAATAACGTATCATCCAGTTTCACAGCCTCAGACGTTATCAGTGATCTGTAGCACTGAGACTACTTATTCGTCGAGGAGCATAGGTCGCTCACCAGCATTCTCCATCCTCAGAAATCCTTTCCAGTTCTTTCCAGTTTCGATTCATCCTTTTCATGTCTGATTCCCATTATGGATGCACTGTGTTCGTTGGTTTTCCTCTTTTCCGTTCCCCTTCAGGATTCCAAATTAAGGCTCGCATCGTGATGTAGTTTGATGATTTTCGTAATATATGTCTTATCGACTCCCAGGATCTTCTACTGATTTGCTCTTCATATAGAAGCTAGTTTGTCCTCTCCCATAGTAATCTGTTACTCATGGTATCCGATCAACAGAGATTGAGTACATCAATATAAGTAGAACACACCACAGTATTAGCTTCTACTGAACAACTTGTATCTATCGTATGTATTCTTATGATGATGCTTCTGGTTGGTTTAAATCATTCACGACGAAACTGTTTGAAATATTTTCTGTCAGTCTTTTAGTACAGTACTCTCAATATATTTGCTTATACAGGCATAGTTCAATAAATAAATACATTTGGAAGTAACTACAGAAGGTCTCTGGTCAAAGTAAGATTTTTTAAGTGAGATTTCATTAATTTTTCAATCTAATAACAACTGTTAACCCATGATTTTTGAGATTTATTAAAGAACTAATGACTAAACTACTGTTGAATGTTGTTTTCTTCAAGGAAGAATAAAGCGATGAAATGAAACTATAATATGTATGAATCTATTTGGAGTACAATCAGTTCAAATCAAAATAAATTCACAGGACATAACTTTTTATTCTTTTTGTCTAATAGTTCTTACGTTGGTATCAGTTACAATGTTAAAATATTAATTCAATTTGTAATTATTTCAATAACATTTGAGCTATTTATTTGATTTGATAATTGTGTAGATTGTGATCGATCACGTGAACAATGACCCAAAATGAACTAACTTAGTGGATTTAACTGGTTCTTTTCTTTGGTTCAGTTTGTTTAAATAATAAATTACCCCTTTTCATTAAATCAGTTTGACCTATTATATATATATATTCAGGAGTCCCTCTGGGGGCTACTGCCGGTCCCGAACCTGGATAAAGGAGGAGGGTTGGGCATGGGGTTAGCGACCCCATCCCGTAGAAAAATAACTCGCTAAAAATACGCTAACCAGAAAAAATAATATTCAAAAGTTAGTGGTATAGTGGAATCAGTAATTGAAAGAGAAACGAGATAACGTTTTAAGCCGATGGTGAAGTGAAGGAAGACTTGGTGCAAAACAACCATTTCATTGTTTAGTACAAAATTATAGAATGCTTTCATAAAATACGAAAAGTATACATTGAATACTTCATTTACATATCTTTCACCAATTTTCTCTTACAATATTTATTGTTCCTTCATTTCTATTATTATTATTATTATTATTATTATTATTATTATTATTATTATTATTATTATTATTATTATTATTATTATTATTATTATTATTATTACAATTACTTCATGCTTACATCCCTGTTCTCTTCAATTCGTTGCAAGGCATCCCACTTCTGATTGTTGTTACATACTGTTTATATCTGTCGACATAAGTAGCATACCCCACAACGTTTCATATCCAGTTAATAATGAACCGATAGTAATCAAAGGTTACTTATCAATTAATATTGTATGTCAGGTCTAACTGTTTTTTCTAAATAGTATCATAATTACATGAAACAGATGTGGCACATTTTAGTGTTATATCATTTTGCACGAATTTGAATGTCTATTTGAATAATGAACTGAAAAGTTTTAGTCAGAAGACATTACATGTGAAATCAATCAATTGGAGATGTGAACAGTAACTGGTTGATAACATGGAGTTAGTAACAAGCTATTCGGTGAATCGATTGAACTTAAGATGGTTATAGCATTAATGATCCAAAGATATCATGCGTCCTATCAGATTCGAAGGTTTCATACATTAAATAATATTACATATATAGGACTTCCATTATGATATCATACGATTAATGGATTAAAATTCAGTATTCCAGTTATCTAATTAATGATATAAGGGAACTACATGGATATTCTGTAGATGATATCTTCACACTAGAACTTGAGGATATTCATTTCAAAAAAGTAGATTATTGTCAAGAATTATATTTTAATTTCATTAAGTGATATACAGATACTTGATTCATTTGATGTATTGACATAGGTGTTGGTGAAGATAAATGGATATAAATGTCAGTAGATGATAATTATATTTTATGTAATATTAGTAAAAATATGGAATTTTCAAGATAGAATATCTGATCCAATTCCTCTAAGACGGTTTTAGTATGATTCCATGTTTGATTACAATACGTTCAAAAAGAATTGTTGGATAGAACCAGAATATTCCTCGAAAAAAGCCTAGAAGAGTCCTGAAAACGCTAGGAAACATTTAGTCTAATCAGCACTGAATAGAAGCCTATCATAAACTTCTAGAAAGCTAAGAGTCGCGTGTTACATTGTCGGTCGGATGATTACCTATCCTGTTACCATGTTTAGTAGCGTTCCGGAAACGTCTAGGAGCCTAAGGCCATCTGAAATGCTATAAATACCCTAGATTTTCTGTACATAAACGAACCATGGAGTAAAGCGTTCTTTCCATATTTTATGCCTTTTCTCTCTTTTTCGAGTTGTTGTGTAGATTTTGAATGAGGTTACTAGAACAGTTTAGGAAATTTAATCAGGTGTTCAGTCATAAAATTTATCAATAATAGGAATGGAGGTGTAGCAAGTAGACATTTCTGTACAGTACCAATCTTGAGAGTGATTCACTAATATATGAAATGACCTGTGGAAAATATTAATGCAAATATAATCACTTTCAGTATAGTTAGAGCTAAAACATATCCATTCATTGTCAAACTGACCAGTTGTTAAGTTCCACTGACCGATTCACTTACGACACACATCCGACGATGTATCAAGTCTCTGGTGCGTGCTACTTATATTGATATAAGTTGTATATGACGCGAGTTAGGAATGTAATGTCTGGCAGCAGAAGATGGGGAAGATCAAGAAAGGAAGAGCGGGACTAGAAAGTAATTAGTATGGAAATGAAAGAACAACGAAGTTTGAGACAATTATTGAACATTTTGAAATTAAGTATTATAGTATGGTTTTTCTATTTTACCAAGTAACTCTGTAATTTTATGCTAGTTATAATTCGGATGTCCTCACCTGTGTTGTCGTTCACTACAAATCCACTAGTGAAAAGATAGAAGAGATTAATTACTAAGCTGAATCAAGCTAGGTCTGAACTCTTCAGTAAGGGTATGTTCGACTTCTAATTGTGTGTTTTATTTAAAATATCTTGAGTAACATTTGATTTTGAAATTTCTTATGTACACAGATACATGATATGTGTGTACTCATCAAGCCTATCATTAATTTGCATTCTTTAAACTTGAAATTTAAATTGGTAACATGGTCATAAAGTCAATTTGGACGTTTTTCCCATATTATGAAGGGTTTTTGGAATGATTATTTCTCAACTCTACAGATTATTACACTAAACAGTGTCTGAATACAATTTATTATAATAATGAATATTGATGTCTACTGGTCATTCTTTATTTACAGATTGATTTTATTTCAGTAGTATATCAAATACTTTCCTTGTGGACAACTTTAATGAATCCTAATCATTTATTGATGTTATTATATGCTCATAAAACTGATAGATTATTATGTTAGTTATCTGAGAAAGAAAAAAGAATCATACTAATAACAATTTTCACTGATAATTTATTCTTTACAGCTTTTAGAAATATGCATCAATTCTGTGTAACAATACTCCAATGATTCCAGGTTTTCCACGGTGGTCTAGC